AAAACTCGAGATATCGTGTCAACATCGTGGTGCCACTCCTTTAGCGTCATGGCGTTGAGCTTTGTAACTTGGCCCGTCCTCACCTCTTCTTCACAGTGCCGAGGTACCAATTGATCCATGGTCGTGACGCCTAACATTCTGTCTTGCCATATGATGCTTTGCTACACTTCTTCGACATGTGATGCAATTGTCCCCTTCTTCCAAGCTAAATTGGGTGAAGTGGTAAACATGAAAGTTGTAACCATGTATCTTAGAATTGCATCTTTTGGACACCATAATAAGAGTTAGGGTCAAAATACTGAAGCATGTTGGGTCTTTCAAACACCTTTTTTTCCAAAATTAAGCTTTACTCTTTTAAATCGTACAAAAACATAAAAACTAATAAATAATAGCCCTATTAAAGTAAATAAACATGAAATTAAAATGACTCAATAAAAACAAACTAATTAGCAAAAATACTAAAAGTGACTAGATTTTAATTAAAATTTAAGGACTTAACTATCATTTAAAAACAAAATGAGACTAAAATAATTTTATAAAATAGAATTATCATCATGTCACTTAGGTGATCTCATTCGTGATTAGGATATACATATGCTAATTGTCATTCATAGCCAAATTAGAACACTAACTTAATGAACCTTATTTAATTGATTACTATAGACATATAGTAACCCAATTAAGTTAGGAATTTATGTAAGCATCTCGACAAAGACTTGTACATAGTTGGATTCTAGGTTAATAAAACCACCCATAAATATAAATAATGAAAGAAGCTGGTATCAGATGAAGTGTTGAGTGAATCCATAATCCTAGGTTTTAATCTATTATCTTCTCAAGTGAATTTTTAGTTTCTATTATAATTTAGTGCTTGCTTTAATTTAATTTTAATTAATTTTCTAAAACAGTGAGTTACTTGAATAAGATTAGTTTGTCATAATTTTAGTACTCAGTGAAGATTTAGGAACAAATCTCTGTGGGATATAATTATGGACTTATTGTTTATATTACTTGTTTGATACGTATACTTGTGTGTGCAAAATTGAAAACAAGAATCTCCAAAAAGTAAAAAATCATCCTTAAATACCTCCAGACACTGCTCAATCATATCAATGAAAATAGTTGTCATGCACCTAAAAAAAGTAGCTAAAGCATTACAAAGTCCAAATGGCATTCTTCAACAAGCAAAAGTCTCGTAAGGACAAGTGAAGGTGGTCTTTTCTTGATCTTCAAGTGCAATAGCAATTCGGTTATACCTAGAATAACCATCCAAAAAGTAGTAGAAATACTTACTAGCCAGTTTATCAAGCATCTAATCGATAAATGAAAGAGGAAAGTGATCCTTTCGAGTAACCTTGTTGAGCTTTCGATAGTCCATATAAACCTTCTAGCCAGTCACAGTTCTAGTAGGAATGAGTTCATTATTGGCATTGAAAACTACAATCATACCTCTTTTCTTCGGCACACATTGGACTAGACTTACTCATGTACTATCTAAGATAAGATATACAATACCAACATTTAACCACTTGATAATCTCTTTTTTTAGTCACCTTTTTAATAATTGGATTCAACTGAAGTTGATGTTCAATGGTTGTCTCATGATTGTCTTCAAGAAGGACCTTACACATGCAAATAGATGGACTGATTCTTTTGACGTTTGCAAT